ACGGTTTGTTAACATCCTGCAGCAGTCAGTGAACTTCACTTAACATAACACCAATTTTGTTTATATCCTGTATTCTCACCAAACACAAGAGAAGTCTAAAAAAAAGTGTGTTTGTTCATGTTCATTAGTAGGCAGTCGTCTACTTTCTGCTTTAGCTGGCACACTCCTGCCTAACTGGTGCATTATGGCCTCATGTAGGTCAGCAGAGTTGTGTAAAATTATTGGCAGAAATATGCATTATGTCACTCGTGTCCATGCATGTGTGAGAGAGAAGAACAAACATGCAAGGGATCACATAAGCATCAAAGAAACCAAGACTACCTTTAAGGCAAAATATCCTTAGATATCATAGCAGCTAATTAAATGTATGGTTTCTTGTATAGACCGGAATTCATTTGCATTCTTTATTTTTCCCCTGTTCCTAGACACTCTTATTACCCTGCTTTCTCTTGCCCTTCCCACTCTCCTCCTCCGCTCACCTTCTCTAATTTCGTCTCCCCTGTCTCTCCCACTCCAAGCAAATAGACTGTTGTGATGGATCCAGCTGTCCCATCTTAACTTCCTTCAGCTCAGAGCTGATTCTCCCACTTTGATGACTTTGCAGCGAAGGCAGACATCTTGCACATTAACATATGATTGTGCCCATGTATTATTTGTGTGCGGGGGGACTGGAGACAGGGATCGGGAAAAATCCCAGTGCAAGCTGTCATCCGAAAGAGAGACAGAGAGAGCTACAGGAACACTGCACTTGAAAAGTCAAGAGTGTCAACATCATTCATGCGGAAAGAGTGCAAGGCTAGATGTACTCCGAGTCTTCCTGGGTTGTCCTGTGTGGAAGGAGTCAGAAAAGGAGGTCAAGGAGATGAAGCGTCCGAGAAAAAGTTTCAGCCTGTGAGACTCTGAGGCTTCCTGAACGCGAGTTAATTAACAGAGAATTTTGTTAAGATGAGAAAGCAAGTGATATTTCACAACTTGAAACACAGACCCACACAAACACACACGTAGGTTTTTGTGCTCTCCAGCTAAGTGACAGAAAGAAGGCTATTTCTGATGGTATGAGGCCCGTGAGCCTGAAAATGCACAGCAGCATACCTAGAAACCGCTCGCTCTTCCTCAGCATTGTGTTTAATCTCCAGCTTCTAGGTTTTGGACTCAGCCCGCTTACATTTTCAAGATGAGACAGATGAGATTTATCACTGAAGATACAGGAGATGAGAAGTAGTGATATGTTCGGCGCTGTCAGTCACTCAGTGCCGGCATTAGTCACCGCGCCTCAGCTTCTCTGATCTGTTGTCTGTCATCGACGCTCGCAGACAAATGCATCACACGAAGCAGAAACACACACACAAACGCGCACGCACACACTCGTCTCATTTGAAACACGTTCGCTCTCGCGCACGCACCGTTCTCTCCATGAAAAAGAGATGTTCAATTTCCGTCTTTGCTAAGTGGACAGCTCGTGTCCTTCAGGAAGCAGGCAGTAAACAAGGCCTTGTTGGTGGATGGATTCTCTGTGGCACATCCTGTCAACTCCTCCAGTGATCGGAGAGAAACTGAGGTAATCTGCGCGACTCTGTGTAAGACTCATGGTGCAGATCAACTGTCTCGATTTCTTTCCGTTTTAAGTTTTAGTCATCATAATTCATATTTTTGAAAGTCCCCCCCACCCCCCCACCCCCCAAAAAAAAGGATGCAAAAGGAAGATTGAAGTAGTCATCTCATCAGAATACAGAGGCCATTCTTTGAATATTTGATGCAGACGGATAGGTGTTCACTCCAGTGGAACAAACTAGATTGGAGTCCAGTCGCTCATCTGGAAAAGGCTGTAATTTAAAGTCGTAGCTGCCGAGTGTCCTTAAGATCCTCATTTCCTTTTTTTGGCAGAACTTCAGCCTCTGGATCAGCCCACCTGGGCCCTGTCCTCTGCTGAGGTCAATTGCCCAAAGGTGCGCACACACACACACAACCACAGAAGCACCTACGCTCAGATGCTTGAATTTCACCGGCACTAATTGCAAACAATAATTTGCTCAGAAATGACGGTGTCAGAAAGCAAGTGGAGAAATAGATTATCAACAGTTGTGGCACCTTCAGTGTACTCTGATTTGTTTTCTCTTGTTGAGAAGTTGAGAAGGGAAAAACAACATTAACATGCACTTTGACTCGCAAATAAATAAGCTGATAAAATTACACTATGCAGATCTCATAGTACCATATCACTCAAATAGAGTACGCCACTCTCGGACTGCAGGCTTGCTTGTGGTTCTTTAGCTGTGTTTTATGGAACCAGCTCCCAGTTTGACTTCAGCTGTGGCAGATGGCTGCTCTTCCCTGAGTCTGACGTTTCTTCCTGTTAAAGGGAGTTTTTCCTTCCCACTGTCACAAAGTGCTTGCTCATAGGGAGTTGTCTTGTCGTTGGGTTTTCCTTTCTAGTATTGTAAACAAATGTTGTTGCAAATAACATTGAATTAAACTGAATTCAGTCATTGTTTTTGATTTTAATTAATTTATGATTAAACTAATCAGCTGATTCCACTGTTACTATAGTTACATATTAATATTGGCAATAATAATTTGTGTAATGATCGCAGCGTAGTAATATCTTTACAATATGTTTTGAAAGATATTAAAAATATGGTAACATACTTTTGATTAAATAATTTCATGAGTGCATTATTTAAATTAAAAGGGGGTACTATATGTTCATTTTACAAACGTCATGGGCTACTAGCAGTCTAATATAGAGGGCCATTACTAACATGAATGATGTCATGAAGTGAAGATCCACACACTCCAAATAACTTCTAAATAACATTACAATTGTAAATTATGTTCAAATACCCAATGAAAATATTAGTAACAATAAAATAAATCCACATAGATGCCATACTAACATTCACCTAGGTCTCACCAGTAGTTTGATATGCACCAGTGATCCATGTCAGACTACTGGCTACAGACTACTGCTGCATATCAGATTACTATCAGTGATGCATCACTCTGTACTGGAATTCATTTAAATAGCAGTACAGTCCCACTGCTTTTTTCTTTGTTTGTTCATTTTTTTAAATTGCCTGGCAGCGGTTTTGTGCAGATATCAGGTGTGGTGTACGGGGGTCCTTAATAGACCAAACTGAGGTGATCTGTATTTTATCTAGGTGTGCTCTAACACTATATCACCGGTAATTAATACTGAAATACCTTCAGGCATTATGTTCCATACAGGGCTCCCTTGTTTCAAGACAATACAGTAAAAAATGTTATGTTTGTTGTTGTGATTTGTGTGTTCGCTACCTGAAGACCCTTGTAAAGTTCAGTAAAAGTTCTGATGACTGCGGGCTGCTAAACGCTACCAGTTTCTATTTCATTTCATGTTGTTATTATGGTAAAGGACCTTTACCCTGTTCCAACATACACAGTCACTGCTATTTTGTTTTGTTATCATTTTCATATTATTTTCTTCTGTCTGTTTTAGTGCTTATCCTGTTAGTGTGACTGAGACGTCTGATACTTTTATACTGAGAGTAATCACAAAATTTTTAAAAAGGGATTAGTTAGTTAGTCCAGCTATTACACTGATGTGCTGGCAGATTATCCCATTGTTACCAACATATTAAAAATACTACTACGATCACTGTTCATTGATATGTTTAAATGTGAAAAAAAAATCATGAGTCAAATAAATAAAATGTAAAAAAAAAATCATATGAGTATTTATTACTCATATCTCATGTGTTCTACTGTCAGTTACTTCTCTATTTCATATACTATTATACTACTGGCTATTATAATCATATTAATGCTCAGATGTCCTATAGAGTGGTAGTACTAAATATTGTACAATGTGTGACAAAGGGCTAATAAAATTTCCAGGAGTACAGATCGACCTTTTTAAGTTGCCCCACAAGCCAAATATATTTAGTTTAATATTATATGTGATTAAAAGAAAAACCTCACCTATGACTTCTTGCACCCAAAAAATTTGAAATAATGTTCTGAGAAGATTATCAAAATAGCTGCTGATTTATTTTCTATCACCTGACAAACTGATGAATTAAGTGTTTTTGACTCAGTTGGGACTTTTGTTACCCGGCAAGGTTTTTTTTTAAAGCAGTTTAATTCATTGCTGTCACTTTAGACTGTCAGTGTGAGTACAGCTGCCAGTAAAATACAAAAAAACAGAATCAGATGGACTGGCAACTGTACAAACTTTACCAGCAAACATCAAAATAGAAATGGGCGCTGAAGTTCTGCCAGTACTTTCTGAGAAAGCACTGAATACATTTGAGAGCAAAAACAGAGTTAAGTAATAAACCTATCACAGTGACAAGTCTCAAGGGCATCGCAATTTTTTAACTATGATTCTGCTCGTCTCGTTTGCTTGGTACAAGTGCGCCGGCGAGGCCACACTTAGTTGACTCTTTGTGACGTGCTGTAATTTAGAGCAGCGGTCTCCAACCTTTTTTGCGCCACGGACCGGTTTATGCCCGGCAATATTTTCCCGGACCGGCCTTTAAGGTGTCGCGGATAAATACTACAAAATAAAACCAGTACCGGTACCGAAAAACAGAAGATTTATTCATAACACACGTGAAAAGACCCAGGAAAACCGAGTTAAAAACGATAACAAAATAACGCTGAAAAACGATAAAAACCCTGAATACTATACATTTCACACCTGAGCCTCATCTCTCGCGGCCCGGTACCAAACGACTCACGGACCGGTACCGGTCCGAGGCCCGGGGGTTGGGGACCGCTGATTTAGAGTATTCGCTAAAGAATTCAACACAAGAACAAGAAGTGTGCGGCATGTCTGTGCACAGGGAACTCAGCAGTCCACAGCTGCACTTTGGTGAACATGAAAAATACAGAGTATGATTAACACTGTAACTGTAACCTGGGTGTGATTACAGCTTATTCCCGCAGCTTTATACACAGTCAGCTCTCACACATCGCATGAACATTTTGTCTTATGGGCGTCCGTTCTATTTCTGTTTAAGGTGTAAGTGTAACCTCCACGCCTCCCAGTGCCTGCCAGATGAGGATGGCGGGAACCTCCAGTGCCAGTGTGAACACAACACCACAGGCCAGGACTGCCAGCGCTGCAAGAAGGGCTTCAAAGCCAAGTCCTGGAAAGCAGGTTCCTACCTGCCGGCACCCAACGGAACCCCCAACACGTGTAAGTTAGAAATAACATCACTGACTCTTTTTAATAACACCCATCAGCCTTCTTTATTATAATAGAGCTGCACAACTGTAAGACTACTTTTTGCGGAAGCAATCTGAACCGTGGCCTCCATCGTTGCCGACTTATGAAAGAGGTTTTCTATCACTCTGACGTCCTGCATGAAAGCAGGCTGGAAAAGAAAGAAAAGGGTGAAGAGGCTGAGTTGTTGTCACCTCTGTGCAGAGAGCACATCAGAGCCGTGTCATGACGTGGGAGTGTGTGGGGAGGAAATCCTCTCAGTAGCCAGCTACAGTAGCTAGATATGATAAAATAATAATCTAGGGCAGCCCCTCCCTAGCCTTTCTCCTTCCAAACAGACACTGAGACACTTAGGAGCACAAGAGATGCACACAGAAACCCGCAACTGCACACCTGTACTTGTGCACTCACACACACACACAAACACACTGCAGAGAATGGCTCTATTGTTAGCCTTTTGTTTTAAATCTGCCTGACATTTCCGACCCAGTTCTAATGGTACCGACGCAACTCCCGAGCCCACCGCCCATTTTTTCTTTTTTTTTTAAACTGAATCCCATTAGTGGAATTTTAAAAATTCAAATGTTTGCAGCTCGCTCCGTCGAAATGCTACACAAGAGCCACGGCTCACGAAAGAGCCTCTACAGATCGCATTATGCATGCTCGGGCTAGGCTAACTGTTAGTACAATCTCGGGGAAAAAAAAATATGCAAGAGAGGCGAAAGTTTTGATGCGAGTGTAGCAAAGTGGTAGTGCTCTCTTAAAACATCCATATGTGATGAGCGCCCGTAAATATGGGGATTAGAGAGAGAGCAGCAAGATAAAATTAGGAAGAATGGAGGAGGCGGGTTCAGTAATTACTTCAGGACTTTGAGAGGTAGTCCAAAACAAGCCTTTATTTTTGCAGAGCAGCTCTTTAGCTCTCTCTGCCACCTGAGTCTGATGAATGAGGCAGAGTCAAGTCTTTAGGCAAACTGAATGCATAAATAAACAAGCTCTCATCTCATATCCTCTTCCCTTTTCTTATTCTCTTTCAGGTACAATTGCTGGTTCCCCCTCTGGTTCTAGTAAGTAATAATGCAAAGCGAAGCAGAAGAAGTGCTATTCCACTCTGCTTCTCTCCCTGTCTCGTCTCTGTCCCCTTTTTGTTGCATTGTTTTAACCCCACACCTCGCCATCTGGATCTCCTAAACCCCACCCTGCTCTCTCTCTTTGTGATGTTCAGCTGGCTCTCGACTCAGTCATTCCTCTTCCCCCCCTCTGCATCTCCTCTCCTCACTTGCTCCAGCTCAAGCCCCGCGTGCTTCATTATTAATAGGCCTCTCTGTCGCCCATGTCCTTTCATCCCAACACATCACACTAACCTGCACAGGAGGATTTCTTCCACAGTTCTGCTGTTTTTTTTATTTAGACTAAAGACAGTTCTGTTGATGGATTGAAGAAAAGGGGCGATGAGAGAGGGCTGAGTGAGAGAATGGCGGGTGGATGGAGCAGAAAAGGGAGCTGAGCGAGGGAGAGAGAGAGAGAACGAAAAGGGAGAGAAGGATGTGGGCATATGTTAGTGTGTTGTAATGCAGTGTGATTCCGGGTGAGGAGCGTGGGGAGGCAGGAATAAAAGGGAATTTGATTAGGGATTCTCTCTGTGGAGAGACTCGCAGCCTCCGAGCTGTTAGACAGAAACGATCGGCAAAGTGGCAACATCAACCCTGACAGCACTGGGCTTTTCTCCACATGGCCCAACAGTAAAGGCTGATGCATGGATAGACTGAGCAATTGGACTGCACTGCAGAAGCCTTCTTTTTTAAATGGTCTCCTCTGACAGTTAGACACAACTGTCTGCTTATTTAGAGAATGAAAAGAAAAAAATTGGTGTTATTTATCAAAGAAAATAATGATTCTAGCTAATGGGATGATTACGGGTTCGGTTTTCCAGTTTCAGCCTACCCACACATTTAGCTTCTGTTTATTAATGGAGATCTGTACTTGTTGTTGCCAAATAGCCACAACAGGAACTTCATCTAGGACGTTTACCGCTCCCAAAGCTGATGACGGGACAGAGGTGAAAGCTGGAGTTGAAACTAAGGGTGAAACTGAAGGTGAGGGCGGGCCCGAGGGCGACGTGGAAACAACCACAACCATCTCTGAAGCTGAACGGTCTCCCGCTGTTACCCACAAACCACTTCAGGAAGGTGCGACAAAGTAGATTAGGAATAGGTAGATTGAAAGTTGATGCTTTATACTTTTTCAGTATGTCCTCAATATGATGCAAAAGCAGTTCTGATGAGCAACGTGCCTCTGTGGTGTTAATGCTCGGCCTGTCTCTAATGGTAATGTTAAAAGCTGGTTGTCTTATCTTGAGAGCAAGGTCATCAAGGTCATTCAGAGTTTATTCATTCAGATTGAATGATTTTTGAGCAGTCCGGGATAGATGTGAACATTTCGGTCATCCGCCTCGATATACTGTACGGTAAAGTGGCCTGTAAAGCGCGGCTTGCTTTCATACTAAATTAAATCCTGCTATTTTGGTAAGCAGCAGACCTCTCATGTTGTACCAGGAAAGCACTTAGAAAGTGGGAGGAGCTGTGATAGTTTTTTTTGGTCTTAAGGAAATCCATTAAGAGCATGTTTTGAACAGCGCAGCAGTTTTGTTGTTTGGCTGACGACAGGAACTCAAAGAACCCACTCATTTGCTTTGATTTAGGTAAGCCTGACAGGAGCTTTAACATTACATAAACAGGACTACAACCCTCAGAGAGCCTTTTAAAGTCCTGTTTGAAGGACACAAACTTTACAGAATATCTCACGTAGACTTTTAAATTTAGTCATAATGCTACAATAAACAGTGTTGGGGAGTAACG